TACTGTAGTAAAATCAGCATTGTGTCCAATACATATTTAGATTAAAGAAATAATTCTTGCTGCAGAAACTTTGATACATTGATAAACCAGAGGCAGCATGGTCCTAGTGTATGTCCTTTAATGACGATAATGTTAGTTAGTATCTTATGACACATGGAGTTGCACATAGTGTGGAGTGTTTCATGACCTTGACTTGCATGTCCTGCCATGGACTCAACATGAACTGCTATGCCTCTAACTCACCTTTTTGAAGTTTTTTATGCTTTCAATAATTATGTCAATGGACTCTAAAATCCAAGTGATATTACTCAAACTGACAAGAACAAAAAGTGTGCAGCGTTCACCTTCATAATAATTTCACATCACGTGGCACTGAAAAGGCCCAGCGCAGGGGCACAATTGAGCAGCAAACTGTTGACAGTAGTTAGACATTATGCACAGTGGGACCAGGGGAAAACTGGGCCTTTGCCAGACTGTTTTTCTTCTCTATTGAAACATCAGACTGTCATGGCTGGAATGGATGTTGCCAGGCATCACTAATGAACCAATTAATCAATGAATTAGCTGAGCAGCGATTAAATAAATGTGCAGTGGACGAGCGTGCAGCAGGCGGGGATATATCCTGGGAAGGTGATTAACACATGAAACAGGCAGCCATCAACAAGGAACCATTATGTTAGGCAACTTCCTGAACTTTTTCTGTTTCTAGATATATTTAGAACAGCTATTGTATTGTATTTCTTTTGGCCAGTGATGGATTGTTACATGGGTTAATACAGTGCTTCTCAAATATTTTCTTTAGAGCCCCTCCTAGGAAGAGGGAAACCCATTACATAATTTTCAGATTGGCTCTGAAATTTTTTTCTCAGCCCAAAAAGTCAAATAGTGACTCATAGGGCTCTTACCTTATAGTGAAAAAACATGTAATTAGTTGTTAAGCGGCCGCTCTGTGCTTCTTCAGAATGCACCTATGGCCAGTCCTCCTCTGCCTTTGTCTCTCTGCCACTACAAGAAGCTCCGTGAACCAGTTTCCTTGTCTCTACATTAGAGTGACACAGAGGCACATTTTGCTGAGCATGAACATCAAAGCCACAGTGCATTCAATTACCAATCATCAGTGATCTGATCATTATAAAGTCCTCGCATTTTTGTAAACACAACTTCACAGTGCAAACTTTTGAAGGCCGCTGGAGTGTTGGGAACCGCTGCATTCTCTACAAAGCTGCTGCATCTGAAATCCAGCTCTAGTACATATAGCAAATTGTCCAGTTTATTTATAAAAGCACTAAAAAAAACAACAATAGCCACATTTCCACCGCAGGAACTTTGGGGTAATTTACAGGGCCAACCCTTGGTGTGTGTCTCCACTGCTGGAACGTCCCCCGCAGGGCCATAGGGCCATTCACAGGAACTTTTACGGAGACCAACGGAGTACCTCCTCCATGCTAGGTACTTCGTTTGGCGCTGAAAAACTCCTGGGTGGGGCTTGAAGTTTACCCGGCGCCAATTGGCTATAGCTAGAGCAGGCTCTGACGCCAGCAGATAGCATCCAAACAACCAGCATTTTTAAAATCCAGCAGCATTAGCCTAGCAGACTTAGCAGACACCACTGGAAACAGCAAGATGTACGATAATGGACGGAAAATGAGGTGCAGGCTATTGCCTTCTTCGGCTCCAAAGGAATTCAGACGAGGTTTGAGACATTGCGGCAAAATGCAACGAGTTGTGTATCAGCATCAGCGCAGCTCAAAGCACTGGGGATTCATCACACTCAGAAACAATGTCATAAAAAAACTATAAAAAACTCAAAGACCACAACAACCGGAGAGATTCCGACCGTAAAATAAATAATTATTGATTATGCGGTGATTGATTGTAGAGAATACAAAGCAGTGGCAAAAAACACACTATTTACAGCAGAAAATAGACAAAATCCATTGAAAGCCAATATGAACAAGTGAGTTTTAAGCCGAGACTTAAAAACAGGAAGTGAATCAGTCTTAACACTCAGGGGCAGCTCATTCCATAATTTAAACAGGGCTGTGTTCTTGCTCTGTGCGTGGCTTTGAGAGGTATTGACACCTACTGTTCTTGTGAGAACATTGCATTTGTGTAGCTGACACCAGGAGGGCTGTCCGACACTCTACAGTCACACACAGTTGGAATGCATTGGAGAAGTATGCTGTGGCCTTTATGGTCAATGCTAAGTTTACATAGTTTTGAAAAAAAACGTTACATAACTCAAAAGACCAATTTGTGAGGCTATTTGCATTTTTACACTATGCATTTGATAGATGTAACTAACATCATTAAACCGTATCAGGATTTGATTTGACTAATCAGCTAAGTCTTCCAGGCAATAAAAGATCAGAAATCTGTGACAAATTCCATCAGAAATCCCTGTAGCCCCCGGCAGACCAAGCTAACAAAGTAGAACTGAGATGGTGGATTAGCCTCAGCATAAACAACAAAGAAATGATAAACCACAACATAATTTTATGGGTAGAAGCAAAAGACAAAACATAGAGTGAATTGATATCTTTCAGGTATTTGTAGCACAGTGGAAGAGTGGATGCTGATTCCAAACAGTCAATACTTTTGAAAGATGTGACTTATTATTAATATAGTCTTTAAATAAGAGGAAAGTCTACAAGCATGTCCAGAAACATTGAGCCAATCTTTTTGTCAAGGATATGCGTTGTAGGCCTCAAACACATACTCTAGTTATCTACAATTAAAGGCATTATAGTATTACTGGCAACAGCTCCTCTGCCTTCTGTCAGCTGTTTTGTCTGTGTGGGCAATTGGAGAGTCCCAGAAATCTATCTTCTCAGACCCAAGGCCAAGTTAGGATTGGTTTGAGGAGGCCCTTTTTTGTCAGGGACATCAAACAAAACCATATTATTCAAGTCATGCTGTTTATATTTAGGTCTGTGACCTATTGTGAAAGTAAACACAGTGTCAATTGTTTACTATTTTATTTGTTTTATTTCTGTACTTTTAATGTTGTTTTATGTAGTACTTGTCTTGTGCATGCTGGGGACCTTAAAAAAATGTATTCCTATGTGGTTTTACTGCATATGGCAAATAAATGAATCTGAATCTGTAAACTATTCAACATGGAAAGTACAATCTGTGTACACTGTCCAATACGCTGCGTTTTCATTTGGACAAAATTAGCAAAGTAATGATTAAAATCGGCTTCCTATTAGCCATCGGTCCGACATACATCACATCATTTCACAACACATTGTTCCCCACCTTGCTGATGTAAAGCGGTGGTGGATGTGTGCAGGGCGTGGGAGGCTTGCCTGATTATGAGACATCCTCCGGAAGACCGCTGACTTGTTTCCTCCATTACTTATAAAGAGAAAAAAGAGGCCTTTTCACTATTGAGACTGTCACACTCAATTTGGCATAACGGTAAGCATGCACGAGGTCTTCTGGATATTCACCCTCCTCCCCACCTGTCCCCCACCCGCACATTCGACCCCAATCCTCCCCTGCAGCGGATCGCCGTGGTGACAGTTTGATTAGATCATCAATCGTGGCCGTTAACAGTGGTTTTCCTGAGCACCTGGACCGGCAGGTCACAGCTGGCTCAGAGCTACCGCTGTCCCCCTGACCCAAAGCTGTGCACGTGTCTGTCTGTGTGTGCTCTGTGAGTGCAAACAGAGAACATACAATTCACCCGATTGTCCCTTACAAAACATTCTGTTGTAATAGCCTACTGTAAGTCACTACTTCTCAGAGGAAACTACTGAACTACTCAAACCCATAGACATGCTCTTCTGATAGGATTTGAATCTTCTTATGTCACCTAAATACTTCAGACACCCGAGATCTGCCACACTCACACACCCAATGCTGCACACTGTAAGGACCCAGTGCTGCTTACACACACAATAATAAATTCACCTGCTTTCGTGTGTTGTCTCCACCACTCGTATCAGCTGCTTTCGTCGTTCTGGTAAATTTATGGGCTAACAATAATGGGACAAAGTGTGTGTCTCATCGCGATTCCTCAGGTATTCTATGATTAAATAAACATCCCCAGTCTTTTCATAACGCTTGTTTATGGCAGCGTGGCACCATATGCTATTGCTTCACCAGTACCACGCACCCATTCTTTCCCTCTCTCTCTCTCTCTCCCCTCTTTTTCCTTCTGTTTAATTCAATGCCACTTTTTCTTTGTCGTCATTTCTCTGCGCTGCCCTATACCTGCTCTTCCAGATGCGGGCTAGTCATTACTTTGTGTTGGAGTCGAGGAGGAGAAGCTGAAGTTGTGAATTAACATGTAGAAACCATTATGGAAAGATGATGATCTCCATCTGCATCGTTCATAGGTGCTACTTAGTGAAGTGTCTCTGTGGTAATGGCGCAGAAGTAACAGTAGAAAGCTGTTTCTGACTACGGGGTCTGTGAGTGAACTGCTCTGTTTGCTCACGATATACAAGGTCTTTTATAGACTCCAATAAGAAATTGGGAGGGTTTAGTTGTGGGTGGTACTTTTGCAGGGTTTCACTGACACTGATTTGTACATTGACATTTTGGAACACTAGTGATTGAATTAGTCATTCTTTGACATTAATACCACAACTTGCTTTGTTGGAATGTGATTCTTAATGTCTGTGCAAGTTGATAAATAATCATCAATATATATTGTTCAATAAACCTTCTGAATTATATGCACGGTTTGCAATATTTCTACTGTTCTTGGACTGAAATATTGCACTTAGTTTCTAGAAAAATAGAGGTTATCTTTAGTGATGTACAATATAATTGGCCACCAATAATTGTTATTCTGTTCATGGAGTTACACCAATATTTTTTTTTAAAATGATCAGATAATTAAATTTTTAAGATTCTATTGATTTGTGCTTTGTTTCTTTGGAGTTTCCCTCTCATTTCTTTTGAGCTTTACAGTAAACAGTGCTGGAGATAAATGTCCATGCATGGACATTCATGGATTATGTTAGGAGTTTTGGAGGAAAGTTACATCAGAAAAAACACTTTGCACCAGCTCCACACCAGCTCCACACCAGCTCCACACCAGCTCCGCACCAGCTCCACACCAGCTCCGCACCAGCTCCACACCAGCTCCACACCAGCTCCACACCAACTCCACACCAGCTCCACACCAGCTCCACACCAGCTCCACACCAGCTCCACACCAGCTCCACACCAGCTCCGCACCAGCTTCGCACCAGCTCCGCACCAGCTCCGCACCAGCTCCGCACCAGCTCCGCACCAGCTCCGCACCAGCTCCACACCAGCTCCGCACCAGCTCCGCACCAGCTCCGCACCAGCTCCACACCAGCTCCACACCAGCTCCGCACCAGCTCCGCACCAGCTCCACACCAGCTCCGCACCAGCTCCGCACCAGCTCCACACCAGCTCCACACCAGCTCCACACCAGCTGAGGGGAACAACGCACTTTTAGTCAATGAAAGTTTTAACAGCAGTGGTGTATGAAAACATGAGGAAGCCTCATAGACAGAGCTATTAGCCCTATAGCATTAATAAACATAACTGCATTGTGTTAATTTTTGGCAAATGTGATTGGCATAGTGTAGAACAAAGGACTGTATGACTCCTAAACTATTCGTTCCCTGTTCTCAGAATACATTTCTCTGCCCAGTCAATTTAAATAGATACACAGTATATATTTATTGGATTTCCATTATCGGTCATCTGTGAAAAACTTGACCCTAACTTAATTACCGTATATGATCCCTTATTAGTATTTGTTGAAAATTGCATTATCGTGCATCAATAGTTTTATTTTCATTATTTTTTCTAACTGATCATGACTAGTGTTGCAGCATTGTAGCAATACCAAAAGTTCCTCTTCAAATGTATGCCAGATAATCATCAATATCTGCTAGAATTATATTAATCTGGTCTCTAATGTGAGGAAATAAAGATAATTGGGTAACACTTTACATTACGGGCCGGTAAGTCCATGGTACTTACAGTGGTACTTCTAGGTACTTACAGTGGTACTTCTAGGTACTTACAGTGGTACTTACGGTGGTACTTACGGTGGTACTTACGGTGGTACTTACGGTGGTACTTACGGTGGTACTTACGGTGGTACTTACGGTGGTACTTACGGTGGTACTTACGGTGGTACTTACAGTGGTACTTACAGTGGTACTTCTAGGTACTTACAGTGGTACTTCTAGGTACTTACGGTGGTACTTACGGTGGTACTTACGGTGGTACTTACGGTGGTACTTACGGTGGTACTTACGGTGGTACTTACGGTGGTACTTACGGTGGTACTTACGGTGGTACTTACGGTGGTACTTACGGTGGTACTTACGGTGGTACTTACAGGGGTACTTACGGTGGTACTTACGGTGGTACTTACGGTGGTACTTACAGTGGTACTTACAGTGGTACTTACAGTGGTACTTACAGTGGTACTTCTAGGTACTTCTAGGTACTTCTAGGTACTTACAGTGGTACTTCTAGTGGTACTTCTAGGTACTTATTGTGGTACTTACAGTGGTACTTCTAGGTACTTACAGTGGTACTTAGAGGTACTTATTGTGGTACTTACAGTGGTACTTCTAGGTACTTATTGTGATAATTCTAGATACAGCTGTAACTTAGTAATTCAAGGATACTACAGCATTATTCCTATGTAGTAAATGTGGTACTTCTACATACATACATACAGAGGTCATTTGTAGGATTGTTTGACTATAAAACATAAAACAACATTATGTAAAACAAACGTCTTTATTATATGGAATAAGTAGCACAGAAAGGACAGTATAAATACATTTAATGCATATTTCAAAACAAGTTTCAAGGACAAGGGAAACACTGCAAGAACTAGGTACCCAACCCAAGTAACAAGAATTACACATTACCAGGTACTTACCAGCCAAGTACCAGGTACTTACCAGCAAGTACCAGGTACTTACCAGCAAGTACCAGGTACTTAACAGCAAGTACCAGGTACTTACCAGCAAGTACCAGGTACTTACCAGCAAGTACCAGGTACTTACCAGCAAGTACCAGGTACTTACCAGCCAAGTACCAGGTACTTACCAGCAAGTACCAGGTACTTAACAGCAAGTACCAGGTACTTACCAGCAAGTACCAGGTACTTACCAGCAAGTACCAGGTACTTACCAGCAAGTACCAGGTACTTACCAGCAAGTACCAGGTACTTAACAGCAAGTACCAGGTACTTACCCTAGGGACTGGCCCATAATAAGACAAAGGACTTTAACATAAGTACCAGTGATAACACCAGTAATTATACAGTAAGTACCAGGTACTTACCATAGGGACTGGCCCATAATAAGACAAAGGACTTTAACATAAGTACCAGTGATAACACCAGTAATTATATAGTAAGTACCAGGTACTTACCATAGGAACTGGCCCATAATAAGACAAAGGACTTACCCATAAGTACTAGTGATACCAGTAATTATATAGTATACCATGTACTTACCAGCAAGTACCTGGTACTTGCTGGTAAGTACCTGGTACTTGCTGTTAAGTACCTGGTACTTGCTGGTAAGTACCTGGTACTTGCTGGTAAGTACCTGGTACTTGCTGGTAAGTACCTGGTACTTGCTGGTAAGTACATGGTATACTATATAATTACTGGTATCACTAGTACTTATGGGTAAGTCCTTTGTCTTATTATGGGCCAGTTCCTATGGTAAGTACCTGGTACTTACTATATAATTACTGGTGTTATCACTGGTACTTATGTTAAAGTCCTTTGTCTTATTATGGGCCAGTCCCTATGGTAAGTACCTGGTACTTACTGTATAATTACTGGTGTTATCACTGGTACTTATGTTAAAGTCCTTTGTCTTATTATGGGCCAGTCCCTATGGTAAGTACCTGGTACTTGCTGGTAAGTACATGGTACTTGCTGGTAAGTACATGGTATACTATATAATTACTGGTATCACTAGTACTTATGGGTAAGTCCTTTGTCTTATTATGGGCCAGTTCCTATGGTAAGTACCTGGTACTTACTATATAATTACTGGTGTTATCACTGGTACTTATGTTAAAGTCCTTTGTCTTATTATGGGCCAGTCCCTATGGTAAGTACCTGGTACTTACTGTATAATTACTGGTGTTATCACTGGTACTTATGTTAAAGTCCTTTGTCTTATTATGGGCCAGTCCCTATGGTAAGTACCTGGTACTTGCTGTTAAGTACCTGGTACTTGCTGGTAAGTACCTGGTACTTGCTGGTAAGTACCTGGTACTTGGCTGGTAAGTACCTGGTAATGTGTAATTCTTGTTACTTGGGTTGGGTACCTAGTTCTTGCAGTGTTTCCCTTGTCCTTGAAACTTGTTTTGAAATATGCATTAAATGTATTTATACTGTCCTTTCTGTGCTACTTATTCCATATTAATAAAGACGTTTGTTTTACATAATGTTGTTTTATGTTTTATAGTCAAACAATCCTACAAATGACCTCTGTATGTATGTATGTAGAAGTACCACATTTACTACATAGGAATAATACTGTAGTGTCCTTGAATTACTAAGTTACAGCTGTATCTAGAATTATCACAATAAGTACCTAGAAGTACCACTGTAAGTACCACAATAAGTACCTAGAAGTACCACTAGAAGTACCACTGTAAGTACCTAGAAGTACCTAGAAGTACCACTGTAAGTACCACTGTAAGTACCACTGTAAGTACCACTGTAAGTACCACCGTAAGTACCACCGTAAGTACCACCGTAAGTACCCCTGTAAGTACCACCGTAAGTACCACCGTAAGTACCACCGTAAGTACCACCGTAAGTACCACCGTAAGTACCACCGTAAGTACCACCGTAAGTACCACCGTAAGTACCACCGTAAGTACCACCGTAAGTACCACCGTAAGTACCTAGAAGTACCACTGTAAGTACCTAGAAGTACCACTGTAAGTACCTAGAAGTACCACTGTAAGTACCACTGTAAGTACCACTGTAAGTACCACCGTAAGTACCACCGTAAGTACCACCGTAAGTACCACCGTAAGTACCACCGTAAGTACCACCGTAAGTACCACTGTAAGTACCACTGTAAGTACCACCGTAAGTACCACCGTAAGTACCACCGTAAGTACCACCGTAAGTACCTAGAAGTACCACTGTAAGTACCTAGAAGTACCACTGTAAGTACCACTGTAAGTACCACTGTAAGTACCACTGTAAGTACCACAATAAGTACCTAGAAGTACCACTAGAAGTACCACTGTAAGTACCTAGAAGTACCTAGAAGTACCACTGTAAGTACCACTGTAAGTACCACTGTAAGTACCACCGTAAGTACCACCGTAAGTACCACCGTAAGTACCCCTGTAAGTACCACCGTAAGTACCACCGTAAGTACCACCGTAAGTACCACCGTAAGTACCACCGTAAGTACCACCGTAAGTACCACCGTAAGTACCACTGTAAGTACCACCGTAAGTACCACCGTAAGTACCACCGTAAGTACCACCGTAAGTACCACCGTAAGTACCTAGATGTACCACTGTAAGTACCTAGAAGTACCACTGTAAGTACCTAGAAGTACCACTGTAAGTACCACTGTAAGTACCACTGTAAGTACCACCGTAAGTACCACCGTAAGTACCACCGTAAGTACCACCGTAAGTACCACTGTAAGTACCTAGAAGTACCACTGTAAGTACCTAGAAGTACCACTGTAAGTACCATGGACTTACCGGCCCGTAATGTAAAGTGTTACCGATAATTGTATACTTTTGTAGCAACATGTTCCTTCTGACAAAAATGTTCAGGGCAGTTGATGATGTAGCGAACTCCATCATAATAGTACATTTTATGCGATAAGCGAAGTTGTGATGTTTTGTCCCCGTCGAAGCCCAGTCCTCTGTGCTCTGTGACAGTTTTGACTATGCAAACACAAACAAAGCAGAGAAAGTTGAGAATGGTAATTAATTCTCTGATGGAGCATCCGCCTGTGTGTGTGTGTGTGTGACTCACCGGACAGACAGAGGGGACTGAAAAGAACTGCTACAAAGCACAAAGTCAGAAAAGCAATTAACTTCTCCAGCCGGGACATGGCGGTAAATACATGTGGATTCACTCTATAGTGTCCTGCGCGGGTTCACTACAGACAAGTCAAGTGAGTTTACTTTTGTTAAGATTATTAATGGCCGTTTTACGTTAACCTCATCTTGCTAATACACTCCACAATGGCCCGTATCACCTGCATTCCCCTGTCCAGCCAACAGCGCTACACCAGTGTCCCTCCACCAATGACCAAGATTAATGAAACCTCCGCCGATTTTAATTAGCATGGCCGCAGTCATCAATTACGTCTGCCCCACCCCAAATACAAATATTGTTATATTTGGGGGTAAAAAATTCTTGATTTATTTCATTGTAGTGGCCAGAGGAGTGAGATGAATGGCCTCCCATCATGGTCATTTGCAGGGATGAGGATGAGGGGCGACGCAGAGGGAGGGGCGCGGGGGTAATAAGATCACGAGAGGGGGTGGTGTTGCACGTATTACAGTACACAACAGCAGTCTAGCAGACACAGGCGGGACAGGCTAAAGGCGGTCTAGAGGGACTATGCTCAGGGTTGGTTTTATATTGTCCCTGCGCAGTGACCTGACTTGAGCAACTTAATTAGACTTTCCTTGAACCTACAGCCGAGGCCATAAAGTTCTTACAGGATACGATTTTCTCACAGTTACAAGCTGGTGGGTTCAATTATGCAAAACAATTGTGGATATGTGGGGAGTGATATTTATTTTGTTTAGTTTCATGAATGCAATGTAACGTTCTTATTTATTGCACAGCATAATCTGAATGACTGATGCCATTTGTATTGAAACCATTTATTATAACACGCTTACTTATTGTTCTGCTAATGCACACCAAATTTTTAAACTGTTTTAGATTGACGTTGTGAGGTTAATTATGTTCCTATACTATTCATTTATATTCACCTGTACCATGCAAAAGTCTTCATGAAATATCTGATGTCATGACAGAACTAAAACTGATTTATCACTCTGTTGTCATCTTCCTACATTTTAATAGGCAATTTATATAGTTATAAACAACGAGCAAAGTGTGTTAGAAGTTCAGAATAAATGGCTCTCAGCGACAGAGCATCATTCATTAGATAAAGCTGTGCATTAAACAAGAACATTTAATAAAGTAGTTTGCATTTGCATTTAACTCCACACTCCTCCTTTTGTTAACATTTATCATGCAGGATTTGTCTCTGCATTTTTTTCATACAATCACAGCACATGTATTGCAATACCGGTCAGTCCATCACTATCGGATATTGAGTAAAATATGAATAAGCAATTTAACAGAACCAGGAAGAAACATTTAAAATCAAATTAAAACATGAAAATGTTTTAACTAAATTAGGTGTGACTTGAAGTGACCAAGAACAGAAGCTTGCACACGACCAGATGTACCAGCACCACCCGTCTAGACGTAAATTACTTTCTTAGCATTCCTTTGTAAACCAAGATGTGTAAAAGCATATATTTAAAAGGGAGTCGTTGTGCGTTCCTGCATTTCATCACATCGGCTAATATAGGAGCAGGATGACTTGCAATAATAATCCTATCCGTTGCTCATATTTGTGGTTTGGGAGTTTGCGGCGAGCCACCAGCCGACCACACGCACACACACACACACGCACCGTACACTCTATATATTTATATATATATGAACAAATGTTATACTGCCACGCTATCCCCCTGCCCACTGACTCTGGAGGAAAAGGGTGGGAAATATCTTGAATATTTTATGAAGCTCGAGAACCCCACCTCTGTCTTCTCCCCACTGTCCGGCTGCATGCAAGCACACAAGCGCACGGCAACAGCACAAAACAGAAATAATGTTTTAAATGCAATCATTGTCAGGCCCAAACAATGTCATTTATCAAGGGAGCGTTTGGGACTGTATAATAAGTTTCACATTATTAATACAATTTTTCATCCTCTGTCAAGCCTATCTGATTTATGGCACGCGTGTGATCTAAGGTGATCATTGAATTACAATTCCAGTAATAAGAGGGAGAATGGACCTGGTCTTTTACTTGGTGCCCACTCAAGCGCACACATACACACAAGCACAAATCCACACACAAGCCCCCCCTGCACTCTGCGCTTGAAACGCATTGCAATTATATACAGCTATGATCGCAGTGGAATAACTTGGAGAAAAAAAATCTTTTGAAACTAAACTAGTATGTTTCTAATTAGAATAAGGGAGAGAACAAAAGCATGTGCAAAAAGGCAACAGAACAAAGGCCTATAGGTAATTCGATAAGGGACAACGCTCATTATGTAGAAATTATATTGGGGACCAGAGAGTAAATGTGTGGCCCGTGAGGTGTGCAGTAATGGACAGGGGTTTCTTGCCGTTACCAAGACTAGTGATTTACAGCCAGATGCATTTTGATACATTGTCTAGTATATATGAAATGGCTGTGGTAATGCTCACTACTAAATATCTATATCAAATATCTTAATCTCGACAATCGTCACCAGAAAAAAAAAAGTTTTTTTTGCAGATCCACCAATACGCGGCACACAAAATATTGCTGCAGTTATTTGCGCGACTAAAAAAAACAAGTGTAACAATCTACAGTAGCAATAGTCCAAATTCAATTGTGATAATTAGATGATACAGACAGACTCGGATCATAATATTTGGATCTCGTTTGAACAAGTTGCGTTATTAGCAGTCGCTGTGCCTTATCAGATTATTTAGCTGTTGAGGCCCCAGTGATGGGTGTCATACATCATCCTGTTTGATTTGTGTTAGAAGCAATTTTGGAGAAGATGTTAATTGGATTGTGGAAGTGCCTCACCGGTTAAAAATGGTAAACAGCAGTGTAGACTTGCCCCCCAAATTCTCAGCCCCAAAGGCTTTAAATTATGCCCGCTCTTCTCGAGGATCACCACAATTTATGACACCTTTTCTCTGTATTCTTAAAAGATAATTAGGTTTATCATCTGTTTTTTCCTGCCGACCCCTCCTTTGCCTCCCATTTGTGTACCTGAGAGCATACAATCGCAGCATAAAAACATAAATATTTCTGCAGCGCAGCGGAGCTGGCAGGTGAGCCTAATGAAATTCTAGGAGTGTAATTTGATTTACGAGGTGCTAATGCGGCCTGATATTAGAGAGAAAAAGCGTTGATATGGCTGCCTTGTGCTGCATTTAAGGCCCATCAGAAGCCTGATAAAGAGCATCCTGGCCTCAGCGCTGCGGCTGAGTTATTGTTGCAGATATTCATATTGATAGTAATTCTTCCTGACACAATTTAGATCTAGCAATATATTAATATGGAGATGAGGGTTAATTTCAGAAGCTGCCCAGATTGCTACGCCTTAAATTCTTGAAGTATAAAAAGTGTAGTTCAGAAGCATTTAGACATGTTGTAAAGTGCAGTGTAACAAATAGGTACTGAGAGCAGCCTTTAACCGAGCCGTGTCACACAAATCAGATTTCCTCTGATAAGTTAAAACGTTCTCCTTAGTCACGGTTGATTTGCTGGTTTTGTTTAAAATGATCCATGAAGCGACTAGGATAAAAGCTATTGAAGTTGTAAATCAACCGAATAGAGAAAAAACTGAACTTTTAAACAGAAAGTGCATATGCTGTGGATTGGAATCATTATTGGTATAGCTTATTGTTGTGTGTGAACAGGGTTTTGTTAATTTATTGTTGTTTAATGCACTTATTCATTGCATATGAGAACCTTGCTGAGTTTGTTCCTCTATATTGTCTCTGGATGTGTCTGTTTGTGTAAGCAGTAAGCACTCTTTGGTTGTGTGTTTGGGTCTGCTGAGCTATGGCTCATAATAAAAGTGGGCAATAACAGGGCCACCACTGAGGGACATGGCCTCAGTGCTCCCCGGCGCCCCCTCTCCTGCTGCGAACCTCCTGATTTCTCCCCACCCCCAGAGTTATGGGCTGAATAACAGCGCAACAATATTAAGATAACATTTCCTGATTGTTTGTCAGGCAGGAGGCTCCTTCACCCCGCTTTCATCACGTCCACCGTGTTCATTAAATTGACAATTTGTATTTGCCCTACAGCAGGATAAACAGCAGCTTATCTGATGCGCCTGCGCTTTTATTATTTATTTCATTATCCTTTTTTCTCCACCTCCTCTCGGGATTGAAGGTAAACATACATCAGCAGCAACATCTCAGTTGTGTGTTGATACTGCAGTCATATACAGTCCTCTCCGAGGATCGCTGTCGAGAGTGCACGCTGTGGCCTCATCATGGATTGTTCATTGTTTGTAACATGAGGGTTTGAGTGTATTGCAAGTCATTACGTTGACTTTTAATGTCCCACTTCTTCTTTGTTTTGGTGAGATTTTACTGGCATATATATATTTTTTGTTAAGTTCTGTTGCACCAAATGTGAGTTTATTGTTGTAAATGACTACTGCAGCCTCAGTGCTCATTCTCTCTGTGCTAAAGCACTTTTTCTAAGTAGAGAGAGCAATGATGTTGCCTGGTTCAATATCTTAGTCCAGCAACAAGGCTGTCGTCGGCCAACATCGTGCACACAAACAAAACATTACGAGGCCTCTTCCCTATTTAGGAAACAGTTGTCTCAGAAATTTAATCTTTTTCCCATTTTTATCCAACACCCTCAAGTTAATCAGGTTTCAATTGACTGCCATTGAAGGAAGAGGCTCTTCTTAGACACATATATAGGTCCAAAGCCAGTCAGACTGCATTTAAGGCTTACTCAGTCTTTCTCCCAATATGTTGGAGAGCTCAGGGCCAAATGATTTAATCTTCATTCAGCTAATTTAGTCTAGATTTAAGCTGCTGGGTTGTCGAAGTGCAGAGTGATGGAGTCTGAAAACAGAATGAGAAGGGAAAACGGAAGGAAGGGAATGAGGGAGAGATATAGAACTACTGTAGAGGAGGAGAGTGGAGAGAGGGGAGTGGGGGGTCTGAAGATGATGATCCATCCTGACCCTAGTGAATGCTGTCATGTTCCTCCCTCTAGGTAATCTCTCTCACTCACTCGTTATTTTGCATGTGAAAATGCTCTCTTGACAGTTGCATATCAGATAAATTTTCTCCCCCCCCCCCTTCCTCTTTGCCAAATAAACAACAGTCTTCACTTTGAAGTTGTCTGTTTGTGTCAGTTTAGCTGCAGGCGTCAGTTGGCCGCACTCTTTTTCTCTCTTTCTGTCTTTGTGATGCCGCGTGAGCGCATGCACACATTATTTCTCCTCGTTGACTGGCCGGCACGATATGAATAACCTGGGAAGAGTCCTCCGCTGCCAGTTAGACCAGCACCATTAACTCGTTCAATTAAACGGCCTCTTGTGTTTCGCTGAGAGTAGAGGAGCCAGAGTATAAAATGTGGCCTTAAAGTAGCTACGTTTTAGAAATTTTATATTTGGTTCAGTAGAAACTGGAAAAGTGCTATAAATTGGTGTAAAAATAAAAAAAATATGTTGACTCAGCATTACCTTGATTAATTGATTAATTAATTAATTACAAGTTTAGTACAATGGGGTAGGTGAAAGCACTGCAAATGCAGGTTCATATTCAATCTTGCATGAATCAATTAGTTACAAGTTACAACTTTCAATCTAATATACTTTATTTCAACTTTGCATAAATAATTTCACATTTTAAAGAATATTTAAAAAATGTTTTATTACATAGCATTTCCACTCTAACTTTTCTTGATAAAATGCCTTAAATAACTTAAAAAGAAGGAATGTGATACATGCATTTGAATGTAATAAATGAATTTCAAACTGCAGTCATAATTTGTATACATTTCATACTCAATTCATTGTCTCCTGTTAGTTATCCCTACAACCATACATGCACAATTCCACCTCTCCACTTGGGGGTGGTAGTGGGTCCTCACTAATAATTTGGGTCATTTCCCTCCCCTCTTTGCCTCTGTTCATTCATTTTTTATCCCCAATTAAATCCTGACCAGCCTATGATGATGTGACAGTGGGGCTGATGTCTCACAGCGAGGTATAGATATGGTAATGGTGACAGTATACGGATCATGTGGCATTCACCACATACAGGCAACAGTTCCACCTGGGCCTCGGCATAAATATTCACACAACGTCAATCACGTCACCTCAGCCTCGTGATCAGAGGAAGCTGGAAGTAAGAGGAGGAAGCCCGGACGTAATGACTGACGAGAAATATTTATGATCAAGGAGTTCTCTTGAGTGAATGAATGATGGTAACCTCTGAACCAGCTCCTCGTAATTGAATGGCTTTGGGACTCTAGATTTAGTGACATAAGACAGGATTCTTCAAATTATAGCGTCCAAGCTAGACCGCAAGCTTCTTGATGGATTTATTATGGTGAGGCGGAAAAACAAGTCCAGCCCATGATGCACACAAATAGGATGTAATCAGGGAGTGGTGTTAAGTCAAGATGTGTCAATTACTATCAAAATAGATTTTGATGTACGTTCATTTAACGTAAACAAAAACCTGAAACTAGAATTAGCACAGGAAGAGTAAATTTGATATATTCTCATATTTGTTTGTATGTGCATGCTTACATTGGCACGTATCAAAATAAACTAAGCAATTTTGTTATGGTAACATAAAACCTGCTTGTTTTAGGGTTGTCAATAAATACTATACCAATCAATTCTAGAACAAAAATTAAAATGAGAAAGTATGGGTGTGCATTTCCTTGCATCTTGCAATACGATACGTATCATGATACATAGGTCCCAATTACATACGATAATATCTTTATACTAAATCAGGTGATTATATACACACATATATGTATGTATGTATATCTAATATATATATAATATATATCATATTATTAACATATATATATATTACACACACACATATATGTATATATATATATACACACACATATATATGTATGTATATATATATATATATATATATATATATATATATGTATAGGAAGTGTCATTACTAGGAAAGATGTGGTGACACAACATTTATACACCTGTATACAGACTTTATACAGGTGTTAATTCACCAACAGCCAATGAGCTAATCAAACAATTCAAACACAAATATTCCCAATAATAGAAAAACACACATGAGCAATTGGTCCAAGGAATATACCATTTTCCAAATGAAATAATATATTTCCATATCGTTGTCTATTTACATCATTCATTGATTTTATTTTCAAACCTTAACACACGAACACACACAGGCCAAAATATTAATTAAAATGAATGAAGTGTATGACATTAAATAAATCATAACTAAACTGCTTTGAGTCTATATGGAACTGACATAATGGTACTTTGCTTAGTGCCATATAGTCGGGCTTGTGCTGTAAATGTTAACAAATGTCAAAATCCACTATGAACTCTATGAATTAAATTGCATCTATATCGAAGATTTGGAGCCTTCTCTACTTGTGTTTGCTCTCTCAGTATATGCCTTGCCTTTCTGATGATAATTACATTTTGTACTCTGCAATTATGAACTGCAGTCTCCTCAAAGCGTCGTCTTTCTCTAACAGCAGCATCAGACTTTCATTCCCCTTGCTTTCCTCTCCAGCTCTTGTCTCCCCTCATCCACTACCTCCTACCTTTGGCACGTTTAGCATGGTGTGTGGCTGTTTAGCGCCGGCGTGCATATGTATGGATGAAGCGGTGGATCATGACGGGATCTGACATGTGCGGACAAGATCAAAGCGCTCCATCTGATCCCATAAAAACAGACGCAAACCCTGCTCTCATCTTTACAAATCCCCCACTGCCAGCCAGGACTCCTCCATCTTCTGTCCTCTCCCAGAGCCCTCCTCTCGCTGTAGTACGCCCGCATCAAGGCCCGGCCCGCCTGCCTGCCTGCGCGATTACGCCCCGTGATAAACAATGGCCCGTTTAGCTCATAAAGCAGGAGTGTTGTGCATAATGCTTACAATAAAAGATAGCATCTCTTCACTCATCTTATTTACCTCGCCCATGGTGGCACGAACGCTTCTATAAATACCATAGGGAAGGAAGAGGGAACTAGGGAAGGGAAGAATAGATGGTGATGTACAGTTGTTTGTCAAATAAAGTAATGTTCAAATAAAATCCTCTGTGCGTAACATTTTACTCGTAATATTCTGTATATTTTGCATTAGCATATTCTTCAAATTGAAATGGGTAATAAACCAGTCAAAAAAAAAAAAAAAACGGCGAAAACTATCTCATTGCATGCATGGTGCTGGCTGCTCTAAACCAAAGACCAAACGTGTGCAAAATGTGTGCTTTTGTAAGAAAGATTATAACAATCTTATATGCAGTATGTGTTTACTGCTCATGTGCTCACTAAAAGTCATTCATTCAGTCTGACATGTTTGAGTATTTTTCTGCAGCTCATACATTTCCACCAGTAGGCATGCAGTGTTCGTAAACTTCTTTTCAGGCAAACCTGGATTTAAACATTCAAACAATTATTTTGGTAGGTCAGTGAGTTATACCAAAAGGATTGGCTCAAGGCTGTACTATTATTTTTACCTCTACTGTCTGACGTGTGTGTGTTTGTCGGTAGGAAAAAGAAATGGACAGACTGAGCTGAAATATGGTGTGTAAATGGGCTTTCAAGGTGATCTATATTTTTGCTACTCTTTATTTTCTGTTTTAGTTTATTTTACTTGAATTACAATTTCTTGACCGCGAGAGAAAATAAACCATACCAATGTAACTGTACTTGATTTGGCAGTTGTAGTGATGACGTTTATTATTTTACTTGTGCATTGTTCCCCAACAAGAGATAAAAGGACCAAAAGGGTTGATTTGCATCGGCACAGGGGTACTTGGAATTGTTTCAAAATGAGAAAATGTTGGGAATTGGCTACATTGTATTCAAACAGGACCATTTCGACGTAATAGTTGGCAGGTCACTGATTAGTTGGTACTAAATTGAATCGACGTGCTTTGAGAGAGGAGCAGTACAGTACCACCACTGACCTGAGAAGACTCAAATCAACAAAACAGGCTTGAATACAGCACCCAGCAAAGTATCATATTTTATGAGATTGTTTGATTTGAATGTTAAACATATATAATAATGATCCCAGTTTGTGACTCAAGGAGACCAAAGCGCAATACGTCCACTTTTATCTTTTGGCCTCTGCAATTTAAATGGCATTTCAAAGGCCTAAGCTAGCACACAAAAAAACACTTCTTTTTTTATTCCATTAAACTATATAATTACTGTTCTGTGAGTTCCACACATGCTGATATCACATTGACAATATACATTGCAAACGGACGCCCAAAGGCAAAGCAGCCCCATCCGTCCCCCAAAGTTTGTTCCTCTAAACTGCAACATGCATATTACATTCAGATTTATCTAGATTGATACAAAAGCCAGGACACATTTTCTTTGCTATCTCTCCTCTGTCCACCTCCCCATCTTAATTCCTTGCGTTCGTCCCTTTTCCCTCCTGCACCCCCTCCTCGCAGTAAGGAAGATGTATGAGTTTGAATTATTGATTCCGACACATGCTACATGCTGCTTGGAGTCATTATTTGTTCAGGTGAGTGTCATGCTGCTCACTATGAAACAGATACCATGGGGATTAAGCGACACAATCAGGACTTAAAGACAGCCAACCTCCCTAAAATAACACGGCCTGTGCCACAAGACAAATGGTCCCAAAACCCCCACTTCATTTGTTTATGACTCGCACATTAGTCATTCAGTGCCTAAATTATAGCGCAGGGGTAAAGATTAATTCAAGCACAAGCTCTTTATTGTTTTAACTTGTATGTGTTTCTTGAAGCCTAATAACGCAGCAGATGAATATAGGTGCAAACATCCTACACAGAAGTATAAAAAACTCCAGCTTTTGTCGGCTTGTAGGCGTGAGCATGAACAGCAGATGTCCAGAGTCAACATACAGTAAAGACAGACTGTCATACATATTCACGTTCATGTGAATATGGAACAGTTCTTTTTAGGATTGTATATCAAAAAACACTTAAATTAGCATTGTTTCTTAAATGTTCAAAGAAAATACTACTTATACCAGTTTAGTACACATTATATGAAAGTTGAAGACCCTTAGTGAGAGAAGTGGGGGCTAACTGTTCATTTAGCCTGGGCTAAGTGGTCAGGGACGCTGGACAGGTGAACTCTATTCTCCCCGCTGGCCTGCGGCTTGTGTATACTTGTGTGTGTGGAGTGTAACAGAATTTCTCCAGTCCTTTGGGCCTTGGTGCAAAGCAGAGAATAAATGGTGGAGGTGGCAGGCCTGGACAGAAAAATCAATGCCTGCTTATACAGACATGACACACCAGCAGCAAACTGCCCACTGTGCGTTGTGTGTCTATGTACAGAACACCATCATAAGATCAGGGCTGTACCATAACTGGGCAGCCTCCAAGTTCTCCTTCAAAGGTTACCGTTTGGAGCATTTTTAGTCAGCGTTGGGATCAGTAAATAACAGGGTTTTTTGTATTGTTTTGTCTCGTCCCCTGTTGCAGGAAGTTTGAATGTGAGTTGTGTGAGCGCTCCTTCAGTGAAAAATGGGCCCTGAACAACCACATGAAGCTGCACAATGGGGAGAAGCCGTACAAGTGTTCCTGGCCCTCCTGCCACTACGCCTTCCTCACCGTGTCGGCCATGAAGGACCACCACAGGACTCACACAGGTGAGCTCGGATTCTCTGCTCCTAAGCAGAAACAACCTGAGTATCATTGGGATAAAATTCATATGTTTACAATAATATAAAGATATTCTTTGTCAAATTAGCGGCTATTCATTTATATAAATTTGTTTATTAATATTCATCTAGTATATGATAATATGCATAGTAAATAGATAATGCATACTTTTAAGTTGATTTTATGTCAAGAACACGTTCCACCAAACATATTAAAATTGAATGTGGTGATTTATAGCAAACCCGACTGTCCACTAGCAGCCACAGACACTTTGACTGACACCTCAGTGGGAAAATCTGTGCTCACTTGAGGACATCCTGTTACACTCTGAGAGATCCAAGAATAGTGTTGTATTTTTCTAAAAACCACAACTTTCTGAAGCTCTAGACTTTTCAACAAAAATGAAGTTCATATGTAAACTGTGAAAGTCTCACATTGATTTTAAATCTTCGCAGCTTTGTTGGGAAGAAATACACACACACATTTTTGGCAGATAAAAGCCATGACTTGTCCATCTGTAGTGCTTTTCAACAACTGAAGAACGGCTTTCTTGGCGTGCTCAAACACAAGCCTGTGCGAGGGTGAAACATTCACATGCTCCCATTATGGACATCAAATAATCTAATAATATTACAGCAGATTTCATTTTAATTTTTGTCCAAACACAAAAAAGATGGACTCCATAGAGACGACATAGAAGATTTTTGTTTTGTGCCACCCCGGACTTAATGAGGGGATTATTACAAGTTTGTATTCCCAAAATCCAAATGGCCGTCATCTGTATTTCTACACAATCCATCTGGTGAACAAGTGTGTTCTGAAACCCAGCTGGTCAGCAAGCTTTCAGAAAATGCATCATGTTTTTCACAAATGTTTGAATCCTTGTTTAAACTAATCAAAGCTAGTCAAAGGACATAGGATTCAAAGGGAAAAGACTTGAAGTGATTTACCTATAAACCTTTTCTTGCATTACATTTGCCATCTATGTCATTTAGGGATGCACGATTGTGAAATTTTGGATCGATATCGATGTTCAACATAACAAGTTGTTATGTTTTTTCTTTTTGTTATGTTTACATATATTTATATAATTCTCCGTCTATTGGCGGAATTCCAACTTTTTCCCACTGAAAATGGACAGACGAGGACAGAGACGGGAGTGATGCACTGTATGGAGAGCACACATTCACCTGCTCATACCGTGCGCACTGTACAGAGCAATGGACACAGAGCGCGTTGTGTGTGAGGCTGAGCGAAAGCAGACGTGTGTGTGTGTGTGTATGTGTGAGCGGGGGAGCAGACAAGTGTGTACTCTGCTGCTAATGCCACAGTGAATATGAATACATCAGAGAAGTCCCCATTTCTAAGTATATTCAATAAAACATGCCCATGATGGAGGGGGGGCGTTTTGCATGCATTGGCTGACATTTCAGACTTTTTTTTTAAAATGTCCCGGTATCTCTTTGCTCGCGCCTAACAATTAACAAATGTCGTTTTTTTTTTTGCCGATTGTAGTTAACAAGACAAACATTGGCCAATATCGATGTTCAGCCGATCGGTGCATCCCTAAATATATACAAATAGTCCAGTTGTGGATACTATACATTATTAAAATAGCTTGAAGACAGATATAATAAAACTATTTAATTTGTGTGTTTGTCTCACCAAATTTCCCAACTTGGCACAAAAAGAAAAATAAGAACTATAAATACTGCTCAGTTTTTTTTTCTAAACTGACTGAAACGGTATAGGCTACATGTACGGAGAGTGGCGGGACGACTTAGGTGAATAATTGCTCCCGTGTGGAGGCCTGAAGCGGCTTAAGAGGGGACCCCAGAAGTTGTCACACAGTTTACAGGAGAACCACTATTTGTCAGCTATGCCTGCTGTGCGGCTTCAGTCACACCACTCTTTCTGCAAGTATTTTCCATGTGTTTTAATAGTGGTGTAATGTCAATGTCCATCACATAATCACATTTTATTTTCATGCTCTTTCAACCACCATTGTTCCCAATCAGGAAGTGGGAGGTAAACTGTCAGAGTTGTCACCTGCACACCAGTTTGGAGAAATGTGCCTGACTGGGATAGAAAGCAGCTCATGAGTTTGAAATAGGAGAAAATAATCAAGATTGAACCAGAAAAATACAATTTAAGGGACTGAGTATTCCATGCAGACTTGATTAAAAGAATTCCACAAAAGCTAACAGACTTTCCTCGGCTCTGACCCTCACCCCAGCCTTTGCAGGTTGTAATTGGTGCGCTGTTAGCTGCTTAGCTGCAGCTATACAATCACTGCAATCACATTCCAGCAGCCAACCTGACACTCTGAAATATTATCAGCATGTGTGTGATCTGTTTAAAGGTTATAAATCGGCTTCTTCACAGCGCTAAGATGCAATACTAATCAAATCAGGTGAAGATTTAAGAAGTTGAACTTGTTCATCCTGGTGTGGAGCAGTGACTTAATGGAGAGCTGTGAGTTAAAATACACTCTCGAGCAGGAAAAAGAAAAGGAATTTCTGCCAAGTTTGTAAAGTGAATATGTTTAAAACAGATTTAACTTGATAGTTTCTACTTTAAAGCACATATTTTTACTCTTAAATGCACCAGACGCAATCTCTGCTTTGATGCCCTGTCTTAAAGGGTGTTTTTCAAGTGTGTTTAATTGGTTTACAATTTGTTAAAATAGCATTTATCATCATTTTCAGCAGTTGGTGTCATGTTTTAAAGTGCCGATCCAGCGTTAACTTGAGGCAGAAAACATACTGTAGATCATAACTACAGCCCCTATGATTATTAGCCTCCATGTCTGCTGGAAATGTTGCATAATTTGTCACTGAGAAGTTGTGTGAAAGTTATATTTTCTTTTGATGATGTCAAACTTATTTGTAATATGGTCATTCTAATTATTCATGCCATACCACAGAAAAGTAGAGATTAAAATGAGAGATAAAATATAATCTGCCATTTTGAGTAATGTTTTATTTGTTTTTACTTTATCATGTATTTCATAAGACTTATGACAGAATATGAAGAATGATCTTGGATCATCTACTAGATAACATGAATGAATGTTTAAGTTTATATAACTGTTAAAAAGAGGCATTACTTTGAAATGTGCAGAGTGGCTCAGGGAACAACTGCTTTGATTTTTGAGGTCAAATCACCGTCTAGATGCTTTTCTAGTTATATTAACACATACTTCTAAAGTTTGTCCAAATGATACTTAGCCCACGCTTTCATTCAGGGTTTAGTTGAGGTCATGTTTTTGTACTTTTGCTCTTGATCAGTTATTGATTTTATATTAGTGATAGGAGAAGGATGGGGTATTAAAAGCCCTTAGAGTAATACCGGATTTTGGCAATTGTCGCCGTTCCTCCAAGGTCCATAATCTCCTTTCTTTACCTACCTTTAATGCCCCCCTCATACCACACTGAATGTTCTCCCGGCTTCCTCTTCCCGCAGTCCCGATTCATTGTCCCTTTCTGATTTGTGTGTTTTTTATGGTAATCACTGCTCCTTGCACACCCATCTTGTCTGTGCAGGGGGCTCAGGGTGGTGTCTGGGTGGTCCGTGGCCATTTGTAAACGCTGATGAATGACCGACTCGAATAAATAAATAAGTGCATTGAATTTGACCCATACAAGTCATTCCCTGCTCATGTACGTTGCGCGTTTGTGTGTTGGTGTGAGCCGAGGGAGGCCTGAGCAATGCCACCGACAGGTCCACAATTGATTTCCTCATTGCTTCAGTTTGTCGCTTAATCTGGCAATATGCTGATAAATCTTTGCACTTTGTCAATTAATTTCCCTGAAAAATGAGACCCAAAATGGCGATCACATCAATACAGCTGTGGATTCGGTGTCAAAAATTAAGCTGTAAAATTAATTGCCCTCCCATCCGTTCCTGCTAAAACATAACTAATGAGGGAGGCAATTATAACCGCATGCGTAGTCCTCTGGGGTTATTTCACACACACCCTGTACATATATGTTTTCAGCCACACACAAAGATTGTGCATTTGGACTTAAAGGAGGTTTTATTGTCTGATTGTAAACTTCATTGTAATCCAAGGTATTAACTTAAGTGGCCAATAATGCACACAAAAAAATATTAAATTAATATAAACAAAATATATATTGTGAAAAAGCCAATTACATTTTTTCCTCATCAAAGTATTTGTACTTCGGTACTGTCTTTATCTTGTTTTTTTATGGTATCTCTACTTTATACTCATTACATTAAAAATAATGGGCTCGTAAGAACGATACAAAGTAAAACAAAATACAAAATGACCGCGGCTCTGCTGGCTTGAGCGGCAGCACGCTTGTGTTTAGGCAGAGCTCTAACCACTGCGTATGCCGCAATCTAAAGTTTTGTCCTAAAGATTAGTTTCCTTCTTCTGGAGACTTTAGAGTTGAGTGACACATGCAAGTGCTGCTCACACATGTTGCAGACAATACACATGTAATGTCCACGCTGTGGATCTCTGTCAACTATACCCCACAGTGAGCAGTGAAGTGTGGGATAGAGCTGCTTCACTATTAGACTATGTTTAATATACATGATATGATACTGTAGTCACAGTTGCAGGTATTTTAACTTTGCATGTTGATGGGTGTAATGTATTGACAATATCTGCCCATTTTAAGAAGGAATTAATTTATCTTTAGTCTGTAACATACATATTTTAAGACAAAGGAAAACATAAACATTTACATTTAACTCATAAAATCACAAAATAACCTTTTCTTATGTTCTTGTCATTAAAAAATTAACAGTTCTTGTGCTTAGGTAAATTTGAAATTATATATATTTTTTTAAATGTTCTATTTTATATCCAACAAAAGTCCTGAATAGTCCCAATGCTGAATCCTGTTTGCAGCTGTATTCATCTCCTATCGAGACCCTATGGGCGGATGTGTTGGAGACATCTTAAGGTCAAGTCCAGCCTAATATGAGTTAAGTAATAGACAACAATGTGGTTTTCAGGGTCCCAGTGGGTTAGAGGCCGTGGTGCTGGGCCTGTCCAAAGCAGGACCGTCCCATTTGTTGACAGCCTCGTGTCAGTTCTCTGTACCTGTCCCAGGTTCTCCCCAGGGCTTCACTCCAACTCTGAGCAGCAGATGAAAAGCACACATGTAATTTATAGCCAATGTTTCCTCTTCAAGAATAATTGTGGCGACCGCGGCTGGACTCAGCAATCGATGGCTATGGATTTTTCTGTGGTGGGGTCTTCTAGTGTAGGCTGTAATAGGAGATGGAAAGGAGGGGAAGAAGCAGAGACGGATTCTGCTTTTCCGATTGGATGAAAAACACCAACAACTTGTATGTGTGTTAAAGCATTTGTGTATTACTATATTACAAGCCTTTTTCTCTTTTCCAATTCATAGTAAATTATTATAGAATCTTGATGTGGAAAATCTGCCTGCCGTATTTTTGGCATTATTTCTGAAGTCCCCTCAATATACAGTATTATCTTTTTTAGGAAATGTGTATTGCCTAATATGATTTTTTTTTTTATTTCTTTGCATAATAGCCCCCACATATGCTGGACACAAAGCTTTATTTGAAAAGTGTGTGAATTGGCTAACAAATGTACCTTTTTAAAGCTGTTTTTCTCCTCTTTAAGTGGCACTGCATTAAAACTCTTCTCTCAGTCGAGTGGCTTTAAATGGGCGTAATCGAGGCAAACTTGAGGCTGCTTTGTCTCTGTGGACTCTGTGAAAGCTGCTGTCTGCGCAGAGGCCCAGCTGGAAGAGTCACCCAAATGTGTTATGGGTGCACGCCGAGAGCCGAGTTCAACATCAGCAGTTAGATGAATATTTTAGTGCGGGACTTTTTACGTCCTGCAATGTGTCTGCGTGCGTACAGACTGAATAGTACTTGGATATGTCTCACCTACTAAACATGTCATGGCTTTTGCAAATGTGCATGCGGTGCACAACATGTGAAAATGTGCCGCTGGTCGCACACACTCTAAACTATGGTTGTGTTTGTGTGGGTTGTGTGTGTTGGTGTGTGGCTGCCTGTGTTCAGTGGCAGTGAGAAAGAGGGGGACCATAATGCCGTTAATGACAGAGCCAGATGCAGGGAGGAGAGGAGGAGTGTAAAAAGCTCTCCACGCACCCCATCTGGAAGGCATCGCCCCCAAATGAAGTTGTACAAAACCATCCCATTGATAATAAAGCTAATTTTTATGGCTCTGACAAGTATGTAATTATGTTCAGCGGTGCTTTTCAGATTTTATCACAGTCAATAAACCACACTGGCAATTTCCCGTCCCCCATTTGACATATTTACACGGATCCATCTGATTGGAGGAATTAGTTAGCTGTGAGAGCTCTGATGGATATACACTAGTGATCTGTGACTTCTGCTCGGCTCATCTGTTCGCCAACGAGACCCGCTGTTCAATCTGTCTGCACTTTTTCTTCCCACTTTGTGTGGTTCTGTACTGTAATTCTCCTTTATTATTTATTCCAACTTAACTTTAGCCCTTTGTCTCTTCAGCGTTGAGTTTGAAATCATACTCGGACGTAATACTCTAATATTTTGTTAAATGAAAATGACACATATGTTTTCAAGTAATTAATATAGAAAGATTAAAGTAGTGTAAAAATAGAGATTACTGTTCACAATTTGGACAGAAAACAACTCAAAGAAGACAAATGTCACGTAACTGATATCAGTATAAATGTGAAGTGTACAATATTTCATTATTGCATGGCACCAGTTCATTTGCCTTGTGTGTCTTCATTAAATTAAGTTAGTTTGCATGTATTGTCTTAATGTCATCATGCAACATTTTTGACAAGTGTCCAGGCCAGTGTTTGTGTTGATTTATCTTTTCATTTGTTTCTTGCTCGGTAGGTGAGAAATCATACCTCTGTGATCTATGCGGCTTCGCTGGAGGAACGAGGCATGCGCTCACCAAACACAGGAGGCAGCATACAGGTAACGGTGTGCCCCTCAAACCACCGCAGAACATCACATTGTAATTTAAAACTATCACGCTGCGATTTAATTTACTATAATGATTGACACATTGAATCCCCAAGTGACATTTCTTAAACATAAATTCTTTAACTGAATATAATACCAAGTCGCGGGCTTCAGTGTGACATGTCGTGTCAGTGATGGGCATGTGTACCACTATGGCTGACTGAATCTGAGAGTTTTAATTTCAGTTATCATTTCTCCATGTCATTCCGCTGTTATGGGCTTTGGGAAATTGCATTTTTTCAGATTGGCTGTCATTAACACGCCCTTTTTATTTATATGCATAGCCTTTGGAACAGTGAAATCTTATTCTTGGCTGCAGCCCAAAATGTTGATAATAATACTAATAATGAACATTTATGGACACTGGTTAAACCTGAAATTCTACTGACCAGTGACTCTTAATATATCCTGTGTTCTAATTGTTTTATTCTCTACTCTGTTGTTTTAGCCAATGCTAATATACATTGATTTGATTTTGAGTCATCTTGGCCATTACACTTTTCACTTAAGTGTGAAAAGTGAAAAATTATAGTCTTAATTATTATATTCTTATTATATAGTCTTATTTATTTCTGTTATTGATTGTAGAAGTCCTCTATCTCTTATACAGTTCCACCTTTTGTCGGTTTCACATCAAACAAATAAAATAGAAAAAAACGAGAAAGAAAACATTAATACCATATACATACGTTCACTTTATGAATACAAAAAAATATCAGAATAATCACGGTACATGTTACATCTTTCAGTTTTAAGCACAGCTAAAACCCAAACCCTTTAACCTTGACTTGACCATTGTTTATCCAATAATAATTCAATACTCATGTATGTCAGATTTAGCTGGCTTAACTCCTATAAACTGTATGTTTTGTATCCACGACAGGAGAGAGACCGTTCAAATGCAAGTTCTGCTGCTTCGCCTCCACCACACAGTCCCACCTCTCCCGGCACATCCGCGTCCACACCGGAGAAAAGCCCTACCGATGCCCCTGGTGCGAATACAGGTACCGCCTCATTGACCGTCCCATGCTTCCAGGCGCTAATGGTTCTTCCCGGCTCCCTCTGATGATCTGGGCCTTGATGGGTGGCGGAGCATAGGAGGCTGCTGCGGGGGGTTCCAAGCTGATGTGAGACTGGGGTGTCGAGATCACAGGTGGCATTGTAAGGTGGTTTGGGAAGGGTGGGGTAACTAGGTGGGGGTGATAATATGTGGGGCTTCTCGCTGTAGGCAGGGAACGTGAAGTGGAGGGCGCACAGGTCTAATCTCCACAGCACGAGCAGCTCATCAGTCTGCCCTCGTCAACATTCGCAGCCAGACACACACACACACACACACACACACTCAATGTCACTATCTCTGGCAGGTCCCTGTCATTAAAACACCATCACACCACATCAGTAATTACACAGGAAATTGTCGGTGAAATTGAAAAAGTTCTGGCGTGCGTTACACATCTCCATCTCTTTCTCTTTTTGTCCCGTTTTATAATCTCCCTTGCTCTGCCCTTCTGTTCATCCTTCCCCCTCATAGCATGTTTTCTCATTGGCTGCTGCAGTGTGAAGAGAAAAGGATTCCAAAGCCATCATTCGTTGTAGATGCATCCTCATTCAGACTGCGTTAAGGTCATCTGTCCTGCACACACTACAGTCCATTCACGTCATTTGGCCTAAAAACCAAAAAATGTGATCAGCTTGGAGTTATTTTTTCTAGGCTGCTTTTTTCAAATGCAATTTTTTTCCTGCACTAAAATTACAGCATTTTAGAAAAAAAAAAAAAGATTATACACTTTATTTAAAAGCTCTTTTCAAAACACCCAAAGACATTGTACAAAACAAGGTTAAAGCATTCGAAAAAAAAGAAAAAAAATGGTTGTGGAGGTTGGGCAGGCGAGAATTACAGAGCTATTAAACATAGCAAAGTACTTACTCAAGTGTACAATATATATTTTATCTTAAAGGGCACAAAACATGCAAAATCGACTTTCCACAACTTTCAACCATGTCATAGTTGCGATTCATTTATAGGCAAGACACCATTGTGCTTCCCTGGCTCCTCTGATTGCCGCCATCTAGCCACTCACACTGTTTTACTTTGTAGATTTTCTTTTCTCACATGGCTCATTTTCTGTATGAGTAAAAAAAAAAAAATGCAACGTGATATGCAGTGGAGCATTTGATATGACCACATTTCACTGACTTTGCGTAAAAATGCAGAGCACACATCTCAGTGCAATATGTCCTCTTGAACAACATTGTTCCCTTTTAGAACACCGGCAGCTTACTATATCATGATCTCTGAATACATCATCACAGGAAAATGCCTCAATGGTTTACTAATGTGTGCATAAGCAGTGCAATGCTGGGGCCTCAGATGTGCTACGGCCTTGCCTTGGGCCTGCTTTTGAATACATCTTTAAAATATGTCTCAAGTGACTTGACCCTTATAAGAGACTACAATTCAAGTTAGCATGTTTGGCCTTTGTGTCGACCAACTCAATATTTATAAATCTTATGTTTCTTTCGGACAATAGAGATTATTACATCTGCTTTATTAAAATACAACTGATGTGCACTGAATCCATATTCATACAATATTATGAGTGCATTGTTTCTCACTCACACTGTTCTCTTTCTGAAGGCTGCTCTTCAACTGCATGTAAATCAGTGGGGAGCGAATGATCCATCAAATGCCACTCATCTCCTATTCAAGCAAGATAGATAATAGAAGAGGATAATTACAGTGTAAAAAATATCATGATTTTGCTCGAGGATTTGTGTGCTGACAATTCATGATGGTTGTAGAATGAATAATGCTTCTATTTTTACTAACTTCTTTACTTAGTGTTAAATACATAATCGTCTTCCTGCTTGTGCTTCAAATAAAGCAGTTGAATTAAACGTAGCCTTTCCCAAACTCGCTTGGAGTTATTTTTAGATTAGCATAGTATATTAGCATATACAACTATAAATAATAATTTCTTGTTGTAGTAATTACCTTAGAAAGTAAAATATGTTAACACAAGTATAATGAAAAGTACATTGTATTTCAAACTGTATCCAGATGTATATGTACAGTATCTCGCTTGTTATTGTATTTGCATTGAAACCGTTTTCAAGTTATCTTGGTAATCTACCTGTTTAAATTGTGTTTGCTCTGTATATAGCACCTTTACTGTCAATGCCAAAAGGGTTTTGTAACCTTGTTAAAAGCGATGGGAGGGTTGCGAGCGAAGGAGCAAGCCATTAATGATGATAAGTAGGGCTCCTTGCCAGCATAAGTCCTCAATGGTACAAGTGATCCAAATAGACACAAAGAAAATGATTTAAATCTCCACTAACGAAGCGGCTCTCAATTACACCTCTGCCATTATGATACAGTTGTAAGAAGGAATAATATGGAAATGGCTGAAATAAAGGGGAGCACTGAGAGGTTGGGGATAGGGGTGATGTGTCTGTTGAGCCTGAAGTGCTGGATGGGGGAGGAAGGCGATACAGTGTCAGGCTAATTAATACAGTGTATAGTAGGAGGGCTGGTGTGGGCTTTCACTAACTGTGACACCTGCTGACTCCTAAACGCACGTTGTGTTGTTTTAATATGACAATTACACCATTACCATATCTGAGAGATAGCACGGCCCCCCTAGGAATCCGCCCGCGCGCTCTTTAGAACCTTTTAGCTCTGCGGAAAATTTTATCTATTTATGCTCCCATTTTGAATAAGAAATCAGTTCACTTTTGGTAGTTAATGCATTTTTAGCTCAGTGATTTGCGTTAATTTATGAGCATGTGACAGTTTCCTTTGCTTCTACTGCTGACTTTTCAGTTGTTTCAGTAAAAGGCAACAGGTCTGACAATGATTTGTCTCTGAACCTGTTGTAATTGCTGTCACAGGAGGCAGAAGATGTTATCACAATAATAAGTACTTTGCTAAATAATTGATTTAAGTTTGTGTTTTTCACCTTTATTGTCACCTCATTAGTGTTACTTTACGCATGCAATATGTACAACAGTGTTTTTTTACAGTAATATGGGACTTCATAAACTCGATAGCCCTACAAAAATAAAACAAATTCACAAATAATCAGCTTCTCTTTTCTGCTGAAATCAATAAAACGCAAGCAAAGGCAAACATATTGTGTATCGTGTGATCATACTGAATACTTGAATGTATTGTTGCAGTCTAATGTCCAGGAGCTTATTGTCCAATTGTGGCCATATTGTGTATATTGTTCTGCTTGGACAGCACCAGACGAAGGCCTGCTCTCTTCTTTAGGGCCCCAATGGAGCCAGGTTGGACTCTGGTTCATGATGGAGAGTAGTGTCTCTGCAAAAGTGAAAACAAATTCTCTCCTTGGCTGGTGTGAGCTATGGCACTGTGAGGCTTTATTGTCCCGGCCAAGGTGATAAGAGAGAGTAATTGCGTATTATACTGTCCGAGAATGTCAGGTCCAAACTGAGCACGAGTGCCCCATCCATCAATACTGATGCTGCTGTTTATGTGTGTGTATGAGGCACTGTGCAGGCTTCTGCATGATGCATTATGGGTATGTGCTGGTGTGTACATGTGTGTGGTTCATTTTGTTTTCGTGTGTGGTTCATTTTGTTTTCATGTCTATATAGCACGGCAACACCTTTGTCATGTCGTATCTGAGATTTTGTATTTTGTTTGCTTGAGTATGCATAGGTCCATCCGGGGCCAGTATCACACGCAGGGGTGTCTGCAGGCAGGTTTAGATAGAGCCTAGGAGCAGGTCAGGCAGCATCATTAATCAGCAGTGCCTTGTGTGACTCTGGAGCTGACATCATTACATCCTACACATTGCAGTTGCACACTATAGGCCTGGCCTCTCTGTCCAGCCCCCAGACCTACCAGTCCCTTAACATGCAGACAATGAAACTGTATTATATTGTTTATATGTATCAAGGCACTTTCAGTGTTGAGACTGATTGTGCTGTGCTGGAGACCTCAAAACATCTCACACAATTTATTTAAAGAGAATATCAAAAGCAGATAAAGAGTCAGTCTTTAGAGGAAAAACTTTCCTTTGGTTTTGTCTCATTTTTTTCATCTTTGTTCTATAGATCAAACTGTGCTGAGAACATCCGGAAGCACATACTTCACACAGGAAAGCATGAGGGAGTGAAGATGTACAACTGTCCCAAATGCTCTTTTGCCACCAACTCGCCCAATGAGTTCAGGAACCATCTGAAGGAGACTCATGCAGACATAGAGAACCCAGACTTGGCCTACCTACATGCAGGTAACTGTAATTTCTCATCATATTCTCTACAGGTGAAACTGGAAATTGGAGTATTGTTCAAAAGTTTGAAACCATTATATGATATAGATTCATTAAAGGTACACTGTGTAATTTTTAGTGCCATCTAGCATTGAGATCTTATATTGCAGTCCAAGGTACTATGGGAGACTTTGATAGAAAATATGTGTCTTTGACAGTGCTCCTCCACTCTCAGTCATTCACCAGACTGCCAAAGAAAGAATGCTTTAGTTTGATAAATGACCGGATCTCTGTCGCGTGAAGGCGGCATGTAAACGAGACCTCTATTATAATATATACTTTTACAAACAATATCAGTAGCTCATGTGATTCTCGCATTAATTTTCTATAATATAAATATTCTAATTTTCTGAGATTTTTTATTTGAGGTTTTTATATATGAGCCAATTAACTATATTTAAACAAATAAAGGCTTAATATATATCATGTTGCATTTAACACATTAGTTTCACATTGTAAGTTGAACTACAGAAATACATTGACTTTTGAACCATATTCAAATTTTCAGATTTTCATCTATAAATATAAATTAAACTCATCATTTTTTAAATCTCACAATATTGAAATGCAAAATGGTGATTTGTCTGGGTCTGTTCTTTTTGAAGAGATGAACTACAAAATGTACAAGATTGATTATGTTCAGTCAGGGTTTACTTTGACATCTAAACAATCATTTTGAAAAATGTTTCCATGTAAATATAGTACTTGCCTACTTCAATCAATGATATTACGTAAAAGACTTTAAACAAGATGGAAGGTTTGCCGCGCCATCATGACCTGTTTATTTACCTCCAGCGGTCTTTGTTAAATTCTTTGTGACTGTTTGCCCTCTATCAGCTTTGTGTTGTACAACTTGATTCACCAAAGACATCGGACCAAAGGCACCACTCAATGATTGCAGGTTTCAGCCATCCCTGCCAATCACTCAGGCCAGAGAGACAGATGAAATCTCTTACCTACACGATTGGTTTCTTTGTGTCTTCATGTTCATTCTTTGTCCTTGAGAGCTTCCAAATCCAATCGGTGAAGTGCTTGTCCTTCATAGGAGTAGGGAGGACAGGCGTGATCCTGTTATCCCTCTGACCTCACATAAAAGCAGTGGGAGAAGCCCAGACCAGATCTGTGGCCAGTATTATTGTGGTGTAGTTCATAGTGAAATGGCATGGTTACATGCTCTGACCCCGAAACTCTAAACAGGGGCATAAGACTGTATCCTCTGGGCTTCCTTTTGTCCCTGTTCAAGTGACCTTCTAACCTTCATAAACACCCTTTTGTCTTGAGATTTCCATATAACCTTTACTCCATTTAAAGATCGTAACTTGAACTTCTTCCTCTGGGCACTTTACTGACTTTGTCCGTATGAACGTACAACTTTTCCCCACAATAAACAATTGAGTTGTTAGGGCTAAGTAGAATATACAGCACACGAACTTATTACATTTTCTTCCCTTTTCACATTATATTGTTTGTTTTGTGATTGTTCTAACCTTCCCAAAAAGTACTTATTAAATCAAAGCGGTTTGAGAAAGACATTGGAAGTGAACTTGAGCTTACCTGTTCAAAAGTAAAAGTGGAAAAGTGGGGGTGGTACGGGAAGAATCTGTGTTTCATCTAAGTAGACAGAACGAGACCAAAAGAAAGAGACAGGGAGAAAAAGATTAAGAAGGTAGATGTTGAATTAACCTGCTTGTGATTGCTCTCTGTCAGAGTGGCACCAGGGCCAGCAGCAAGAGGCAAATCGCCTGTGATGGCCCTTCCCACCGCTGCCTCTTTGAAAGACACAGATCAAAAGCAGCCTAGTCACGGACCCTTGCCGCCCCTGCGCCCCCCGATTGATTGACACGGCAACGTCTCTGGCGCCGCTGCTCTGTCTTTCCATATCACCCCATCCTTCTTCAGTTCCCTTCTTTATGCTGCATCGTACTCCGAATTAAAGCCCTTCTCAAGGATGAAAGCAGAGGTCCTTTGCATTGAAGGAAGACAGAGAATTAGAGCCAGCCAGTGATGGAGAGGAATGATGATTAGCGTTTGAGGAAGATGAGGCAAAGAGAAAAGAGGTTAGATATGTGAGGGGGAGATACAGCTGATAGGACACATTTTAATAAAATGGTAATGACAATTGTCTTCCCTGCTCAATGTGCAGATAGATCTGCCAGAGAGAAGTGGCTGTGTGTGTGAACTCCGTCCACACACTATTGTAGAAGTGGAGCTGCAGGTATCTTACAGAGCTGCGACTTTGCTAAATTACCCACTTTCTAACTTTCTTCTAGTTAAAATGCTGAAAGCACTCACTGACTGGTGCAGCTTGGGGAAATGTTACATTTTCTTTTTCTTAGCTCCCTTTGGCGAGGTCATCTACTTTCAGGGCTCTGGTTTTGTTAAATCAGCCTTTGTCCAGGCCTAGTTTAAGTTCTATAAAACACACTGATGATATGTCGACATATGCTCTGCCTGAGCTTCTTCAGTCCACTATCCTTAATTATGAAATGTTCCTTCTATTTCAAATCAAAGTTGCAAACTTCAGGGCATAGAGATCAAATGCTTTGAAATTAGCCAACATGATCTGAGTACTCAAAACCATTACTTTATGCATGAGAAGGTAATACAAATAAATAAAGAAACTCGTTCAAGGCGTTGTTGCCTCTTATGCAGATTGTGTTTTCTTAATAATGCATGATAGATGGCTCCTGTACAAGACTGCAGGAGACCGGGTCTTGTAAGTGATGATCTTAATACACAGTTACAACCACAGGCAAATGTATTTGTTTGCATAGATTTTGTCCTTATTAAACAAATCTGTACACAAATATGGGCTTGGATGGCTTTTACTTAAGTTATGCAGCAACTCATCCCTCTCCCTCACCTTCTGTTCGTCATGTAATGAAACATTACTCTCAGGAGTGCATTGTGTCCCAGCTGTGTGTTGCATTGTTCAGGACAGGTATGCGTGTCCCGGCAGATGACACTGTGTCGAAGTGGTGAATGAAGCCACAGACACCAGCGATAAAATCAACATCTGCTTTTATTAACAACGTGCTATATGTGACACTTTTGGATGTCAGGAAAATGTGTAAAAACCTAGTACAGTTCTTGAAAAAACACCTATAGGACTTCAAGTCATCAGCAATAGTGATGAACCTGTGTCTTTGTGTCACCGTCCTTATGTTGCCTTCACTTGATGAGGATTAATGAAAAAAGTCATTCTGTTCTCCACGATGTAAAGTCACCTCATTCTGTCTTGTTGTCTCAAGAGGAGATGTTTCAGGGCGCTTTTTCTTTATTTTTTTTCTTCGACAGAAGGGGTATGCAGCCAATAAAACATATAGTTTTACTATGTTTTTCAGACAAATAGCACGTATTTTTGGTTGGATTAGCAGTTTGTGTAAGCAGCTCAGTAACTAAACCACGGTAAGATTGGGTGGGAGAAGGCACCAATCCCCAGCATAATGACCTGCTTCAATGAGCATGAAAACTCTCCCGAAAGGCTGCATTTATCACACATCACACAAAAACAAACTTCCTTTTGTTTCACTCCTGTTAGTTTTACTAAATAATGGAATGGTATTTATAGATTTACAATCAGTCTAACAAGAGCAGAGCCTTAACTCTTACTTTTGCCTTCATGGAGTACAGACGTGTCTCTGACCGCTCCTGCCCTGACTGCTTGCACTATCTTGGCTGATTCTATTGTTTGCCACTTTGGCGCCAGAAGATGGTGCCGTGGTGGGGACTATGGATGGAAAATAGCATGATGCTAAATCTGGTGTAGCCATATTTTTAATGTAACTACACTGTCCCCTAAATAAACAAACTTAATTCATTCCTATTTTATGTTGTGAAAAGATGAGTTGGTTAACTGGCATCATTACTATCATGTTTTTATTTTATTATTGTTGAAACCTTTTTATGGCCTACATGTTTTATAGTGGCACGACAGCCGACAGTAACTGAGCAAACAGAATATCGCAGTGCTTTAGTGAGTGATGTGTGATCAAGAGGCTTGAGGCAGTGGTGTCCCTCCTGTGTGGGATACTGAATATAGGACCTGACAAACCGCCGCTGCCTATAAAGCCTTTTCCATAATTCAGCCCTTCTCCCTCAGTCCACTGTACATACGCTGTGGGAGCTTGCTTACCTCTCTCTGTTGCTAGAAAATACAGAAGAAAATAGGTCCTTAAATAAAGTGGTTGTGTAAACTTGATCTTTAAGGCCTCTACAGAGTAAACAGCACAGTATTCCCCTGATCATTCCCTCTGTGCTGCCCTTTGGCCTCTGTACCGCTGAGAATCATTTGTTGCCCAGACGCCACGTGTCCCCTCTTTGGTGGCTCTCCAAACATCCCAGCATCACTAATTACTATCAGACTCAACTTTCCAAACTAAACAACCAATTACGGGCACTTGCTTGTGCCCGGCCCAGGCCATGTTTCCTGATACAGTGGCCTATTAGGACCCTTTACTTCTCCCTCTGCATAATTGAATCCCCTGGCTGCTCATCAGTGGGCTAATTTAAGACTATGTGTAGTGTTGGTAATCAGAAGGCCTGCCTACTAGACTATCAGACCCCAATTATGTGCCCTCTTATTTCCCCATTACTGGGACTAGGTGCTGACTTTTGTCATTGTACTTTCTCCTAAATCACAAATGTTTTCTTCTTCAATAAGAAAAACACATTTCTCTACCAACAAATATGTTTTCTTTATTGAACGAGAGAACATATTACTCCATGCTTAAGCTTAACATGATACATATACATTCCTCTTTTTTTCGGAAAAAGAACATGTGGCGAAAGCACTGGTATCCAAAATGGTGGTGTCTAACCCTAGCATTCAGCATTGCTCAGCACTTTGTTGTGATGGCGATTACTGTGATGCACATAACGGAGAAGGCTAAATTATTGCTATTGAGAATATATAACAATAATCCATGATCAAAAATCCACAATACATATTAGTTTCATCT